GCGGGAGAGACGATGAAGAGACGAGAGGCAGGCAGTGTAGGGGGAGTCGTGACTTGGAAGAGGGGGGGGGGAGTCGTGGATGGGGAAAGCAGGAGGTATGTAGTTTGAGGAAGGATGGGAGCCAGCTGCTTTTCACCTCTCTCTGTCGACTCGCTTGGATGATCGGGATGATGTGATGTGTTGACGTTTTGACACTGGGTCACAATCGGCGGGGAGCGACTGTACACCGTGGCCAGTATCGTCGTAGCGGGGAGAGCATCATGTGCCTGCCTTTCCTCCCTGCTGAGTTGGCACCCGGAGCCCCTCACACGAGGTGGGGGATCGGATCCCGTGTTACGTCTACCGATCCACCCTTGATCGGTGCGTTTTGAGGGACGATCCACCATGCGCCCATCCAACCTCCTGTGCCTTGTATCTTCGGGAGCAGCGAGATTCGCCAGACTCGGCGACGATTGGTATCTGAAGCAGACACGCATCTCCCCCCGCGCCGTGTTTCCCCCCTTCTGCTTCACGATGAACGTCAAGAATCCGTGTTGTTTTATGTTGCCCAAACTCGTAGCGGGCCGAGCATCTCGTGCCTCGCTTTCCTCCCTGCTGAGTTGGCACTCGGAGCCCCTCACATGGGGTAAGGGATCGGATCCCGCGTTACATTTACCGATCCACCCCTGATCGGTGCGTTTTGAGGGTCGATCCACCATGCGCCCATCCAACCTCCCGTGCCTTGTATCCTCGGAAGCAGCGATTCACAGATCGCCGCGGTCGGGGCTAGATCCGGTGGTTTGTGTTCTGACTGTCCCAAGCTCCCATTGAGGATCAAGCAGGCTCGACGACGATCGGTATCCGAAGCAGACACGCGTCTCCCCCCGCCTTGTGTTTCCCCCCGTCTGCTTCACGATGAACGTCAAGAATCCGTGATGTTTTGTATTGCCCAAACTCTTCTCTCCACCTCATGGGTAACGAGCCGCCCGGTCCCCTGTCCCCGCTGATCCTCTCAGCAGACGGACGGATCGCACCCTCTGCTGTTGTCTTCCACCCACGCCTGGGTCCCCAATTCCGGAGCGTATGTTGTTTATCTTTGCCGATTCATTTTGCAATAGTTTAACATCTACTAGTTAGCAAACATCGCGTCTCTGCCATCACCCTTTCCCCCCCGGGCAGCTTGTTCACGACGCTCAAATCGGGTGTCGTTTTCCTTGAGAGCAACGACCACCCTTGGCTCCGAGATTCAGGGACGGTCAGTGAGCACCTGCTGTTTTCTGTTGACGAGTCACTTTGCAGTAGTCTATCTTCAACAAGCTATTCATCATCGCGCCTCCGCCATTCGTCTTCGCCGGCGGGTCGAATGTACGCGATTTTCGAAACATCACCTAACGATGGTGTCGATTCTCTTGAAAACGACGACCACCATCGCTGTTGAGGCTGAGTGCGGGCGGGCCGCGCCGCTCCGGTCCTTAGCGCTAGTCGAAGCTTATTGAGTTAGCGCATCGCCGAGGATCAGCGGGGACGGGGGACCGCGTTCATGCCTTTCTAAAAGTCTACCATACAGAACTTCTACAAAGATATCATGCACCATCTCATGCCTCCTTCGCCGCAAATTGCGCTTGTGCTCGGTGTGACCCGATTTTAGGTTACATATCTTCATACACATCCGTTCATGAACAATGAAAAGGGCAGTTTCCTCCATGGTTCCCAACCTTCCATTCAGTTTCTGCCTGCACCAATGCCACCTTGAGTTGCGCTCAGCTGCGAAAGTCGCTCACCTTCAATGCCACAGTTAAAGTGCAGACCATGGTCTCACATTATCGGGAGCCCATCCAAAAGACTTGTCCTTGGTCCTCGGGCGTTGTAGTTTGGCAACAATGTCGTTCGACATCTTACCCTAGCAAACATCATCGATAATGTCACGCCTTTTATTACTGACAATGCGGCAACCATTACCTGAGAGAAACGTCAGTCGCCACCATCAACTAAGGGACTCGTTAAACACGACTTACAGCGTCCTCGGGCCTGAAGGAAATCTCCTTCGGAGTTTCAAAGGGAATTCCTTACCGTCGTTCCACCTATCCTCGGGGTGACATCCCGAGGACGATCTAGTTCGTTGTCGTTGCTGGACATGTCGCTCGCTCTTGGCAACTGCAACGTAAAGTTCTCGTCATCTTCGTCGCTCTCCTCAATATCCTCTTCGTCGTCGTCCACACCCATCTGCGCCTTGTCTTTGCCACCATCAACAACTTCGACAACCTTTTTGTTCTTGCCTTTGCCTCTCCAAATGAGGTCCTCCCCATCATCACTGTTGTCTAAGGAGCTTAATCCATCAACCGCATGAGGCTTCATGACTCTAGCTCGTGGAATATTCTTTAGATTTGCCTGGCGGGCCACTTCGTCATCTCTCAAGTCTGCTGGAGTTGCAACCTTGGGCAACACCGCAGGATCATTCGGCGTTGGAGCCTCCACATCGTTGAAGAATGCAGCCACATGTCCAAGTACCCTGCCAAGTTTCCCGTGCTCTTCTTCTTCTTGATGTCCAATAACTGAAGATTTCAGTGGATGTACACTAACTTGGCGAGGCTGTCAGGCGACAGCAGACCCCTCCCCTTGTCGTGGACAAGATCGAGAGAGGACCAATTCGTCTCATAAGGGATCGCAGTGCTCCACATCGCCGTCACCCTCATGGCAATGTCTTGCAACTTCTTATGAGAGGCCCCATGGAGGTTCCACCATTCGGAGGCTGTTATTTGAGCAAGGGAGCTGTCGAACTTCGCGAAGTCGGTCCACAAGCTCTCCTCCATCACTTTCCCTGTCACTGGATCCTTTACCAACATGTCTTTAGTTGGCTCCTTGTGGAAAGCTATCAAGTCCGCCCACAGATCTAGCTGCTCCTTGCACACCCGAGTAACCTCCTCTTTGCACTGCGATAAGAAGAACTTGAGGGTGTTTTGTACCAGCGGGGAGTGCATGTCCATCAACCACTTGTTGTCTCTCCTCCTTGGGTCAAGGAGAAAGTTTGTTGCATGAACAGGCTGCATTATTATCTTCGTGCGCTGGTTGACTGCCTTCATGATCGCCTGTCGCTGGTCATCGATCAAACGCGTAAGTGTCTTCAGACGCTTGCCTAACCCTTCGTCCGAGTGCCAAAGGGTCAGGGGGGCTGTGTCGTTGCAGTCCATCTTCCTTAATAACTCATATATTGGCTCCAACACATCCAAAATCGTGCGCATCCCCTCCCACCACTCTGGTGTAGTAACAGTCTGGTACATCAGGTCAGACTTGGCCCGATCTTTCCTTGTGCTCCATTTCAATTGCCTCCACTCCTCGTCCATCTCCTCAAGCACACACCTCCTTCCCCAAAACCGGAACATCATCATGTATGCGGAAGCAAACCGGACCTCCGTGGGAAAAATCAAGGTCAGTTCCCTGGAAAGTTCTGAGCACCTTGTATAAAGGTTGGCGGTGTTATGGTGTTTCCTTATGAACTTGACCATGATCTTTGTGCGCTGCACCACTTTCTTCACCCAGTACAGCTCGCAGATATCCTTCATCAACAAGTTCAAGCAGTGAGTTGCGCACGGTACCTATGGAATGCTTGATATGTCACGATCTGTACACCTTCGCAGGATCCGCGCAACTTGTTTGTTGACTTCCCCATTGTCTGTGCAAATTGCATTAACCCGCTGCACCTCAATATCCCTGATCATCTTCTCCCGCATCATCGTCAAAGCGACTGTGGTTTTCTTCTTCTTCGACACATACACGACTTTCAAAAGGATTGCATCGCTTTCGCCGACCCCGATGAAGTTCATCACAGGTCAGTACCTTCGATCTGTGCAGCCATCAGTGAGAAGGGTGCAACTTGTGTTGTCCCACTTCGCTTTCGGCGGATGCATGTCTTCTTGCACCTTGTTGTAGATGATGTCTAAAACAACAGTTCAGATGACCTCCAAGAAAGGCATCTTCACCCGCTGTTTTTTCTCCCCCAACTCAAGGTACAAATCATGCAACTTTTGTGTCTCTTTCGTCCTCACATAGTTGAATGGGGCGCCGTGTCGAGAAAGGTGCATCCCCCATGCCACATCCAATCTTTGTTGTGAGTCGTTCGTTGCCCACCTTTTGATCGATGCTTGACCCGTAGCGGATCCTTGTGCAGAAGTCCCCGGCATTCCACCACCTTCTTCCACAACACCCTCTCTTGCCTCTTCATTAACATCTGTGGTCGGCGCTGTTCTGCTCTGTCGTGTTCAAGTTGTCAGTGGCACTATGAACGCATCCAATGTGTCCCCTTGTGCCTCCACCTACAAAATTGCGCGAACATCCGAACATCCAAGCCGTCCAGGGGGATGTTGTGCTCCATCCGATACAATTGGATGAGCCGCAATGTCTTCTTGCAGTCAATCGCCTGCCCCTTCGCAGCAAGGATGTGAAGCATCTCCGGATAACGCGCGGGGCATGGATTAATTTTCCGTGTGAAGTGTGGCCACACACGTGTGTATGACGCGACCCAATCTGTGCCGCACAGATTGCACTTCACTCTGTACTGCCCCTTCGACAATGGCGGGACCATCTGCCCCTGCGTCACCCACTTGAATGACACCTTCGTCGCCTGCAGTTTCAACTGCCTTGCCTCGGGCTGTGGCTGAAATGGTTCCTTCATGCGCGTGGCTCTTTCGTTCGAACCCGCCACCTCCTTCCCCCTCGAAGTGCCTGCCCCGCTTGAAGATGTCATCTTGCACAAGGCTCTTGAACAAAGAGGGGAAGAAGAAGAAGAACAAGAAGGAGGAGGAGGAGAAGAAGAAGAAGAGGGAGAGCTTGATGTGAAAAAAAGAAAAGGAATCGCAGAGTCAGGCCGACAGTCTGACACAATGCCACGTCAAAGGACGGAGGCAGTGGTGGTGAGGGATGGAGTCTGTGGAAACTAAGAGGTGGAAGGAGG